ATGCAGCTTGTTCTTAAACAACACTTTGAGAGATTCTGGTTAAGTTTGGATAATGCGGACTTGGGAATGAGAGGTTTCAGGCAGCCAGGAGGACATCCTGGGGAGAGGAGGGAGATGTGCATAGGTATGACGAGCCTAGGGGATGCTAGAAGACCTGAGTGGCAGTAGAAATAGGCCTGAGTACTAGGACCCTAATGTGGTAACAAGGGAAGACATTCATTGAACCCCACTGTTGTGTCATGTAGTCCTCTCAAAATCCACAAGAAGATAATTATTTTCTCTATTTCATTAGATGAGGAAGTAAGTGCTCAGGGTTAAGTAACTTGCACAAGGTCACACAGGTAGTATTTAATGGAGTCAGGGTTTGTTCTAAGACCAGTTGTTTCCCCTGTCCACATTCTGAACCAGTTCTATGCAACAATGGGAGGTTTGGACAATTTTGCTAATACAACTGTTTTTTTCCATTCACAGCCTTCTTCAAATTTCGATGTTAACTAAAGTATAGTTAGGAATGTGACATCTACTGTCTAGAAGTGCACAAACATTTCTACAGCCTGGTGTGTGAGAGCCAAAGGGGTTGGAAGCTTGTCAAAAGCTTAAGGGTCTGAACTGCTGTAAAATACGGAGAGCTAGTAAATAAGGTATTGTTTAGGAAAGATTTTGTTTTGTCTAGATTCCTCAGCACCAGCCAAAACCCATCATCCTGAAGGGAAGCGTGTCAAGGGATACCCTCCTTTGGAGAATAAGCCAACATTTTCTCACTAGGGGAGCTAAGACAGCTGAATAGGCTTTGATGAGGATGTTAGGTAAAACCATTACATAAGGGGGAAAAGGTCAATAGAGGAATTGGAGCCAATTAGACTAGAAAGGAGATAGCTCAAAGAAAACATGATTGCAGTTTTCCAATTTGTAGAAATGGTAGAAAGAAAAGGCAAATGAGCAAGGACCACAGGTTGGATGTTGGTTGGAAAAGGATTTTGATTCAATAAGTACATGGTAGGTTGTGATATTATTCAAAACATTTGCTGCTTTTCTTTGGAATGTCTCTCTCCCTCCCTTGTCCCTTGGAGGAGGATTCCATGTGACTTATATCTGCCAGTGAAATGTGGAAAATTTAAGGGCCAGCATGCAATTTGCCATAATCTTTTTTCCTCTGCCATGAGACCTGCAATTTCCCAGAGAAGGGCTTCTCCATCAGCCAGGGTCCCAGAGGGAACTCCATGGGGGGCAGAGCCAAGGTGTCCTGTGATAGGCATATAATGTAAGCACGAAATAAATGTCTTTTGTTAAAAAGTCACCAACATTTTTTTTATTGTGATAGATTTTTTTTTATTGAGTTACTGATAGGTTACAATCTTGTGAAATTTCAATTGTACATTAATGTTTGTCAGTCATGTTGTAGGTGCACCGCTTCACCCTTTGTGCCCACCCCCCACCCCACCTTTCCCCTGGTATCCACTAAACTGTTCTTAGTCCATAATTTTAAATTCCTCATATGAGTGGAGTCATACACAGATTATCTTTCTCTCGCTGGCTTATTTCACTTAACATAATTCTCTCAAGGTCCATCCATGTTATTGCAAATGGAATGATTTTGTTCTGTTTTACAGCTGAGTAGTATTCCATTGTATATATGTACCACATCTTCTTTATCCATTCGTCTGTTGCTGGACACTTAGGTTGCTTCCACGTCTTGGCTATTGTAAACAGTGCTGCAATAAACATTGGGGTGCATAGGACTTTTGGGATTGCTGACTTCAAGCTCTTTGGATAAATACCCAGTAGTGGGGTGGCTGGATCGTATGGTAGTTCTATTTTTAATTTTTTGAGGAATCTCCATACTGTTTTCCATAGTGGCTGCACCAGTTTGCATTCCCACCAGCAGTGTATGAGGGTTCCTTTTTCTCCGCAACCTCTCCAACATTTGTTGCTATTAGTTTTAGATATTTTTGTCATTCTAACGGGTATAAGGTGATATCTTAGTGTAGTTTTGATTTGCATTTCCCTGATGATCAGCGATGATGAGCATCTTTTCATGTGCCTATTGGCCATCAGTATATCTTCTTTGGAGAAATGTCTGTTCACATCTCCAGCCCATTTTTTGATTGCGTTGTTTGATGTTTTGTTGTTGAGTTGCGAGAGTTCTTTATATATTATGGATATTAAGCCTTTGTCAGATATATGACTTGCAAATATTTTTTCCCAGTTAGTGGGTTGTGTTTTTGTTTCAATCCTGTTTTCATTTGCCTTGAAGAAGCTCTTTAATCTGATGAAGTCCCATTTGTTTATTCTTTCTATTGTTTCCCTTCTCTGAGAAGGCATGGTGTCTGAAAAGATCCTTTTAATACTGATGTCAAAGAGTGTACTGCCTACGTATTCTTCCAGAAGCCTTATGGTTTCAGGTCTCATCTTTAGGTCTTTAATCCATTTTGAGTTTATTTTAGTGAATGGTGAAAAAGAATGGTCAATTTTCATTCTTTTACATGTGGCTTTCCAGTTTTCCCAGCACCATTTGTTGAAAAGACTTTCTTTTCTCCATTGTATGCCCTCAGCTCCTTTGTCAAAGATAAGCTGTCCATAGATGTGTGGTTTTATTTCTGGGCTTTCAATTCTGTTCCATTGATCTGTGCACCTGTTTTTGTACCAGTACCACGCTATTTTGATTACTGTAGCTTTGTAGTATGTTTTGAAGTCAGGGATTGTGATGCCTCCCGTTTTGTTCTTTTTTCTCAGGATTGCTTTAGAAATTCGGGGTCTTTTGTTGCCCCATATGAATTTTAGGATTCTTTGTTCTAATTCTGTAAAGAATGTCATTTCTGATTGGGATGGCGTTGAATCTGTAGATTGCTTTAGGTAGAACGGAAAAAGTCACCAACATTTTAGGGTCTTTTGTTACTGTGGTATATCTCAGTTATGCTGACTGGTAAAATAAGAACGCTCTCTCTAAAAGTCAGAGTTGTCCAAAGATGGAAAAGACTGCCTGCAGACGTGGTGAATTCCCTGGAGTGGAAGTATTCAAATATAGCTATAAGACCACTTCAGAGCATATTAAAAAAAAAAAAAGTGAGAGGGGGCAAGGCGAGGAGGATTGAAATATTGGCCAAATGGTTAAGATCTTACCCTCCTTTCCATATCTGAGATCCTACACTATATTAATAGTGAAGTTAAAAAAAAAGGAGTGCCCCTGGAGTGGATTCTAACTCCTAGCGACCTTGTGTACAGCAGAGCAGAACGCTTCCCGGTCTTTTTGTGCTATCCTCTCACCTTCTAGTGCTATATTGACAATGCTCCACTGTTATTCATAAGGTTTTAATGGCCAGTTTTTTTGGAAGTGAGTGGCCAGCTCCTTCTTCCTAGTCTGTCTGGAGTCTGGAAGCTCCGCTGAAACCTGTCCACCATGGGTTATCCTGCTGGAATTTGAAATACCAGAGGCATAGCTTGCAGCAACATGCAGCCACCACAGTATGACAACCGACAGATAGGTGTGTGGTTCCCTGACCTGGAACCAACCTGGGTCACGTGAGAGTGGGGAATCTTAACCACTAGACCACCAGGGCTGGCTAAGGAGGTAAAGTAGGCTCAAAATGGGCAAGGTCTTTTGCAGATTCCTGCTTTAAACTCACTTGAAGAGGAGGAACACAGTGACGTGAGGGTAATTAATCTCAGTTTGTGGTTACTGAAATTTAGAGTATTAACTTATGCTTGTTTGAGAACAGGCTACTGGAATGTAACTAAAGGGAGAGTTAAATATTTTTCTAGTTTGAGATTAACCATAAAAGACCTTCAGGGGAGGATTAGAATACAAGAATAGCTAGGGAAAATGTAATTCAGTCACTCCGTGAGCCTCTCCCAGAACCCTGCTAACTGTTAGATGTACAATGCCAAGCCACATGCTTGGCTAGAGATCAGAGAAAGCAGGGCCATGGAGACGGATGCTGCCATTCCCTCGACCCGCAGCCCAGAGAAATACCCCGTGGGGATTCATTCCCTTCTTCTCTCTCCTTTCCTGTTTGCTCCTTTCATAACCCTAAGTTTTTCTCTTTGCTCTTCTTCCACTCTTTCATTTACCTCTCACTCTTAAGATTGTCTCTCCCAATAATCTGATCTCTCATCATTTTATTATCTCTCAATAGTCTGATCTTGTTTCCATCCATCCATTTAGCTAAGTCACCAGTGAGAGAGCTAGGAATGAAAAAGGTAAAACAAAGCAACGTTATAAAATGAGGGAAGCTTTCATTCACAAAATGAAGTAAGCAGCATGTGGCGGTATGTGCACTACACGCAAGCATGGCTTTGGGGAAACAGAGATGTATTCCAAACTTGAGCTCCATTGCTTATGCTTTGGGTGACCTTGAACAAGTTACTTAAGCTCTCGGAGTTCTCAAATCCATAATCCTTAAAATGAGGTCAATAACTGCCTAACAGGGTTATTGGGAAGATTAAATAAAGTAAAATGTTATATTGCTAATACATAATAGACACCAGATAAAAGGCTGATATTATTATATAGATTACATAACATTTTAGTTCAGCTTGGATCTGCATTTACAGCTTTTTCTTCTCAGCTTAAATGGCTTAAAAGCTGAAACCATGTTCTCTTGATATTTTTCAATGTCTACAGTTTTGTTGGTCATAGGAATATATAATAAATACTTGAAGACTTGGAACCAAAAATCTATGTAGCTATATCTAGAAAATATGTATAATATTATATATATACATGATATTGCATATTACATATATATTTGTTATAGATAGAATGCTTGTGTTCCCTCCAAAATTCATATGTTGAGCCCGAACCCCCAATGTGATGGTATTTGGAAGTACGGCCTTTGGGAGGCAATGTAGATGAGGTTTGGACGAGATCATGAAATGGGGTCTCCATGTTGGGATTAGTGTCCTTATACGAAGAGGAAGAGAGACTAGAGAACTCTCTCTCTATCACCTGAGGACACAGTGAGAAGGTGGCAGGCTATCTGCAAGCCAGGAAATGTACTCACCTGGAACTGAATCTGGTGGCATCTTGATCTTGGACTTCCTGCCTCCAGAACTGTAAGACATAAATGTTTGTTGTTGAAGGCACCAAGTCTTTGATATTTTCTTGTAGCAGCCCGAACTAAGACTATATATATATTACCCTCTAGTTTCATATAGTATCTCTCATATTAGCACAACTGAATGAAATTTGGGGATATTGTCTAAGTATATAGGGTATAATCTCTCTATAGCTATGTATCTATTTATATATCTATATGCATATCTAATATAGGATTTGTAGTGTCAACAATTTTTGTTATGACCTAAGTCCTATATATAAGAAAAGGAATAAACATAATCCCAGTCTCTAAGAATTTTACATTCTGAATGAACTAAGACATTTAGACAGATCCTTTTTGCTCCCTGTCAAATATCCATTTCCCCATTTTCTTTCTGACAGAATTTATGATTTTGTTTGAAGTATCAATGTACCCATCCCTGGGCAATGTCTCACACAGTCTAAGTCCATCATGAGACTCTTGTTTCCTGCTTTCTCAGCCTCCTTTGAAACTTGTGGTGGCCTTAAGTTGTAAGCAGAAGTCGCTAAGGGGGCTTCTGGGAAAGCTTTTGCTTTTCTGACAAAAAGAGACAGAGTAGCTGGCAGCCCTTCCTTCCATCCTGTCCTGGCTTGAGCGTGCATGTTTTGCTGGCAGCCATTTTGTGACCCTGATATGACAACCAGGAGGAAGGAAAACCAATATGCTAAAGACAATGGAATAGAAAAATAGAAAGAAATTATTGATTATATTGCTGAGTAATAAGCCAAAGGCATCAACCATCTACTTCTTGACCTGTTCCATGAGAAAATAAACCTCTATCTAAGTCACTATTGGTCAGATTTTTTTTTGTAAATTGCAGCCAAATACATTCTTAATAGATACCAGATAAAAGGATGACGGATAGTAGAATTTCTGCTGCTGTGAAATTTCAGGACAAGTAAACAGTGGAGTGAAATATCATTGGGATAGAAGGAATGAGAAAGGGAAGGTTTTCTGAGAAGCTCTTTCTCTTATAAGAATACAATGCATTTGAGCAAACAATTTTCATATTGCTAAGAAATGATAAGCAGAGAACAGCCGTCAGTGGTATTTTGTAGGAAAACAGTTTGATTTTCAATATTTAGAATACAGATTTTCCTCGTCGTAATGATGGGGTTATGTCCCGATAAACCCATCATAAGTTGAAAATAACGTAAATCAAAAATGCATTTAATGCACCTAACCTGCCAAACATCACAACTTAGCCTAGTCTACCTTAAACGTGTTCAGAACACTGACATTAGCTGACAGTTGGGTAAAATCATCTAACACAAAGCTCCTTTATAGTAAAGTGTTGAATATTTCATGTAATTTATTGAATACTGTACTGAAAGTGAAAGCAGAATGATTGTATGGGTACAGAATGGTTGCAAGTGGACTGGTTATTTACCCTCATGAGAGCAAGGCTGACTGAGAGCTGCAGCTCTTCTGCAGCTGCCCAGGATCACAAAAGAGTATCCTACACATCGCTAATCCAGGGAAGATCAAAATACAAAATTCGAAGTATGATTTCTAATGAATGAGTATCATTTTCACACCTTAGTAAAGTTGAAAAATCGTAGTGAAATCATCTAAGTCAGGGACCATCTGTATTCTTAAAATGTATATATAGTAGAACACAAAATTTTATAATTTTGAAAGGAGAAAGAAAAATACATACATTTCAAAACACAAAGAATGATAGATGCACAGCTATTGGATGATGAAAAATCATTTGGGGGAATTTTTTGTAGTAAATATTAGTTATGTGATGTTGACAATGAATACATACAGCTTTACCAGCTGTCTCCACATTTGTCATCATCATGCGTTGAGATGTCTAAAGGAAACTAAGGACCAGTATATTCTATTTAAACTTTTTGAAAGTTAGGCTGCAATCTGATTTCTTATTCCTAAATAATCCTCTCTCACCACCACCACCACATATCAGTCTGTCCCCATGCTAATTTGATTGTTTTGGAGTGCTTACCTTACTGTTCTTTTCTACTGAGACATTACTATCTCAGGACAAATTCAGTAATCTTCTTTACTTTTCCGGTTTGAAAAATCTCTGAATTTTATGTTTCTAAGCCTATAAAAACTTTTCATACAAACAGGTCTTACCACAAAAATTTTTTTCATGAAGGTGTTTGATCATAGCTGGACAGTCAGCTTATATACCTCTCCTGTTGACCTCTTTTTAAACTGGCTTTCCTATATTTGTAGTATTTATTTGGTCATTACAAAATTTTCCAACTCAAATAGAACCTTGTGATTTGCCATATTCAGAGGGAATCAGAGTCAAATGCAGAAGCTCCAAAAATATCCTTTCAACATGTATATCTATTTCGTCACAGTGGCAGTGGTATTGCACAACTAACCAATCTGTAAAAGGCAGCCTTAGTCTTTCTGAAATTTATCCCACAGAATTCTGATATGGAATGATCCGCCTTAAATGATCAAATAGTAATTCTAACAGTGATCAAGATAAATTCTGTAAATCACCTTTACTAGAAACTATTATCAAGAAAATGTTTTGTATTATCTGTAAACATACTCAACGAAATTCAGATTCATTATGTGCTTTTTTTAAAAAAAAAATGGGAAAAGATCATTATATAATACTATTTTAAAATAATTTTAATGGAACTTAAAATTATTCTAAAACAAAATGTTTATTTAAAAAAAAAAAGGTAATACAGAAAATGTAAACCAAAGCATCAGAGTTCTTTTCTACCCTAGAGTTTTTGCCCCCGTTTTGCGCACAGCCATCATTTTCTCAGTGACAGTGAATATGAGTCTCTTTCTCCTCCATCAGCCTGCAAGAGCTCCGAGGGCAGGGAATGAACCGGTCTTGTTCACCCCAGGATCCAGCACAGTGACTAGCACACACTGACAGCCCACAAATATTTGTTGAGTGAATGCTATCATTTCCTGCTTCAAAACCTTCAGCGGCTTCCTTTTGTCTAATAATTTAGCACAAATTCTTTACCCTCACCTCAAGGTCTTCTATATACATACCCTGTCCTAGCCCAACCAGGTTGAAATAGAATGGGTTGTGCCTACAACATGCCTTAAATTTTTGGCTGCAGGGCGTGCTTTGTGAAAAACACTGACTTTCTACTTCACCCCTCCTCAAAAGATTCATCTCATCTGCTTTACAAAGACTCTTCTCGTCCCTCTAGCCAATAGGATTTCTTTCCTTTGTGCCTTGCCACAGTGTATATGGCATTTGCCAAATTTTGCTTTTGATTATATGTGTTTGTGATCATGTTTTATCCCCCCATCCACACTGTAAGCTCCTTCAAGGAGAGGGATAGTGAATGAGTCCTTGTTTTACTCCCCACAGCACAGTGTACACGTAGGCATTTCATTCAGACATAAGTGTATATACCTAGTATTTGGACCATCAAAGTTCTTAGACGTAAGAAGGAAGGTACTAATGGAAAATATATTAGAATTATTAGAATTGCACAGTGTGATTAAGGACACAAGTTTCTGTGTCAGCCTGCATGGGCTGAATCCTCACTCTGCTGCTTGATAGCTTTGTAGCCCTGAGTAACTTACATAATCTTCTAAGCCTCAGTTTCCTCATCTGTAACTTGGTAATATTATTACCTTTCTCCTAGGGCTTTTGTGCAAATGAAATGAAATAAGGTATGTAAGATGCTTAGTGCACATAATAAGCACTCATTAATATCCACTTCTTTTTTTTGGTGAGGAAGATTGTCCCTGAGCTAACATCTGTAACAATCTTCCTCTATTTTTTTGTTGTGGGATGCCACCACAGCATGGTTTGGTGTGTGGTGTGTAGGTCCACACCCAGGATTGGAACCGCAAACCCCAGGCTGCTGAAGTAGAGCACGCAAATTTAACCACTATGCCACTGGGCCAGCCCCGATATCCACTCTTAATATTATTTGAGCTTAAGATATTTGATTTTTTAATGGCTGATATGTCTGCTTTGCAATATTGGATTGTAGATTAGAAAGCATCTCTGCATGGAGTAGCTCTCCATCAACAAAGCAATAACAATGACCAAATAATGTAGGGCCCATACATATTTTGTGTGGAAACCTCAGAAAATTTCTGCAATTCTCCAGTTAATTTTTAGTAGAGACCTGTGATATGTTTCTTATCATAGTATTTAATGTCCAACAATTCCTCATTAGGTTAATAGCCATGATTTCTTATAAACAACTCTGGTTATTCATTTAGTATTTATAAAGCATGTTAGTGAATGCACTGCCCCACTGAAATGAATACATCAGGAAATATCTAAGCCACCGTACCTTAATTGCTAGATAGGGTTTTGCAGCCTTCTGGTTCTAGTGCAGGAGACAATCAGGGGCACACACATTAATCAACTGAGCACAAGAGCTGGGAGGGTACCACTCAAGGAATTTTCAAAATAATATTACCATTTGCTTGATTCTAATTTAAGTAATTTAGAGTTCTTATAACATTAAGAAGACTTGAAAAGTAGGATGTTTACACAAAGCAAATAAAAAAGAAATCTTCTTTTGGCATTTTACAAAATGTTCCTTCTAAAGAACAACACGTTTTTATAGGCCTACACTGATTAAAGAAACCTGATTAGATATAAATGAGAAGCATGTGCTTCTGGTGGTATTGTACCCAGAGGATTTTAGTTAAGTAAAATCTAAACTCTTTGAGTATTTGAAATATACTCAGTTGGGTAGTTAACGAACCCTCCTCAACTTAAAGTGGAGAATTGTTGTAAGAGAAAAAAAAGTACAAAACAAGTTTTGGAGGAGACAAAAAGATATTGAAATCCATTCCAGTGTTCCCATTCCAATGATTTTTAGGAGTTATAGCTAAAGAAGTGTGGCTTTCCCTCCATCCCTGAAATTGGTTTCTTGCATAACACATTATTTTGAATGTCAGCAATACAGCCCTTGGACTTCTTTAGAAGACCAAAGACCAAGATTGAGAATGGCGTGAATGCCTATTTCAGTCCTAGAAATGAAGACAT